TGGCACACGGCGACATTAATTCACAACCAGGCTCCGCACGGGCGGTTCGAACGCCGCGGCTCAACCGCCGCGTTCGGACCGTCAGTGCGACGTCGACTTCAGTGCGAGCCCGTGAGTCGTGCAACTATACACCGCTCGCATTAAGGCTTCTCAGACGGTAGAGCGTCAGAAATTCAACTAATTACAAAACACACTGTACGATATCCACTATCTTACGTATATATTCATCGGTCGATCGTCGACCGGATCGAGCGGGCGCATTCCGGCGTCTAAGTGAACGCATAACAATTGTACTAGTCGATTATATTATCATAATTATTATTAGAGGGTAGATTTTAAAATTTTTATAATATTGCCACGAGTTAGAGTTTGAATTTTACAAAAATATACACACTGTACAATAGTTGAGCGACTCAATGCGTGCGTGCACTGGTCAACCCTAAAATGGACGCCGCGACGCCCCGTGCGAGTCACGCGAGAAGGGTAGGAGAGAGGGAACGGGGGGTGTTAAAAGTACGCACGGAGCGAAGCGAGACACGAACGCACACGCAGCAGCTCGCACATGTGCGTGTCTGCGCGTGTGCACACTAACACTAACTCGTTGATAGAGACTTACACTAAGCGAGAACGTTCCAAACGTCCGTCCGTTCGTCCGTCGTACAAAACGCACCCGATACGGTAGTGGAACCCGCGCGGCGCTACCTACTACGACTAAAAATACGACAACATAACAACAGAATTAGGACAACAGAAAGCTAATATCCCGACATTGCACTCCGTTGCAGAAGGAATCATTCGCGAGGCGAGACACCGACTGGTCGCGTCGCATTACTCTCTGAAGGACAAAATTCAGTGATATAAACTTGTATTATGAATAGTCATTAGAAGACAGTTTGCAAAAAACAAACTGCACGCTAACAATTTTATCTATGAAGTATTACAAATGGGTACCTAATAAATAAACTTCCAATGTAAAACACTCCAATTTAAAATTAAGAACTACACTGATAAAACTATACAAAAATAACAAAGTTAAAATGTTTGAGGAAAATGTTTTTTTTTTTCGAAAAATGTATGTTCCACTTGGAAAGAAAAAGGAACATACATTTTTTTAATAAAATAAATAAATTACAATACAATGTAGTATAGTCAAAAAAACTTATGGTTTATTAATTCAATCAAAAGAAAGTATTGGAGTGATGACTAAACATAGATTATTCGAACTTAGACCGTGTTCGCCAATTTTACTTATATTACGTTAACTCAATACATTAATATCAGAGAACACAGCGACGTGACCCGCACTACGGGTCGCTCACTATACGCGCCATACACGAGAAACGTACTTTAATACAAAAGCAAAAATACAGTATATATTATTGTAGATTTAAATAAAATATAATATCAAAAAAGCGTAATAAAGCACTCGTTATATACAAAGGCAAAGTGATTGGGAGCGCTCGGCCCGCTAGTCGGGTCGCCACTCTACTGACTTAAATAATCTAATAGAACCCTAGCGGCGCTCAGCGCTAGGAAAATATAAAGATAAAAATAAAATTTATTTCTATCCAAATAAATTCACACGAAAAAGTAACAAAAATTACCAAAAACGTCGCAAGTTACCATTTTTTACTAATTTCTATAGAGTGACAACCCGTCGCGTAAGTGTTACCTTAATAAAAAGAATATATCAGTACAATAACTTTAAACACAACGACGCGACACTACCGCGCACTTGTAAAATAATAATAATAAATATAAATATAAAATAATAATCTTAAGCAATCTTAAATACCCTGTTGATTTCATTTTTTAAACTCATCATTTTCCTTTCTGAATGAATAAAATAAATTATAATGCGCAGGGATCGTGCAGCGATGCGTTTACACATGTTCTTTTATGTACTTAAGTACTTTGCAATACAGTATTAATCATTGTATATATGTTATATTTTCCGTGTACACTTAAAATTTTCAAATTCTGTATCTGAATTCAATTGAGATCAACGTCTGCTCAGTGGTTGTTTGGTCCTTCTCCCTTCCTTTACATTTTAGCCTTAAGCTATTTGTTGTAACATAAAAACTCAAACGACGATATAATAATATTTTTATAAAAAGGTGAATTCATTTTTACTTTAAAAAATAAAATTATTAATTTTTTAAAAACTATGTATCAAAGGTTGTGTATTTCGTTTACCGTATATTTCGAAATACCTACAATTAGTGTTTATGGTAGACCTTAATACTATAAATCTTTTAGAAGAAAACAAAAAATACATAATTTGGTTTTCAAAATATGTTTACAAAACTTTTAAAAACAAATATATTATTATGATAAATTATTACTTTTGTAATGGTATTTGTTTATTGCTATGGCAACAGTTAAACTGTAGTAACACTAGACTACTCTATATAACCATAAATATGCCTAGTGAATTTGTAACGACACGTTAAAAAAACTTATTGGAAATACAGGTGTAAACAGATTTCAACCTACGACCTATGAATATACATAAAAAATGTGCTAATAATTAGACATGTCTCAATCGTGAATGATTTGTTGATTTGTCGCATCAATGTATTGATGATTTACAATTACATTTTTGAACGTTACAGATCAAACGACTGACAGAATCTACGACCGAAGGGTATAGTAATCGTCCGACAACCAGCAACAGACATTAAAGAGTGTAGTCTCATAGATCACAAAGTACTAAAACTCGAAATAACCTATTTAAATGATCTACTCGAATGACCCGGTTCGTAATACGAATCAATAGTTGAATGATCATGTCACTAGAATGAGAATAACATATGTATACTAATATTTTTATATTCACCTAGTTTTAGTAGTTAGTGTACTCACAAAATTGTTAAATAATAAAAAATAGCCAAGATAAAAATGCAATAGAGTGAAGAGGGACTTTGTCTGACAGACACCAAGTAGCGGAGAGATCTGCACCGACCCCTGCGCCGTACGAGACGCGGCAGCGCCCGAGCAGGGCCGCGGTGACTGTTACAACTACATATAAATTCTTTGCAGTAAACCTACTATTAACGTATATGTCTTTCTTACGTATGTTATTTCGTTTTCAACTTACAATTAATTATCTTCTCGCCGTTTGTGCAAATTAATCGTTTCCAATAAGAAAATTTTTGTACAACCCTAAGTACGAACGAGTTAAATTTAAAAAAAAATTACGTCAAAGTACCCATACGCCGTTTTATAATAGGACCCATTAACGCAAAAACACCCACCAAAACACCACGTGGAAATAGAAACATCAACAACATACTAAAAGACCTTAAGAGTTAGGACATGGCAAACGATCGAACAACAAAACAACGCAACCCTCCAGCATCCCGGCTCAACTTGACGCGTCCAGTCAACTAGAACTAGGAAAGACGTACAAGTGGCCTTACAGTAAGATGGCGCATATACAATAAAAATAAGTACGTTATTATGTAAAATTATGCTACGTCACTAGCGATTCGAAGCTACGTAACTGATTCGGTAACATTTAGTAAAATGCAGGATGTCCATGGCATGGCAACACAGCGCGGTCGGGCTCGGCGACCGCACCACTAATTGGCCGCCCGATTGCGACGATAAAAATAAGTACAAAGTGTACGTATGTATAAAATGCTTAATATCGAATTGTAAACAGCTCGACCGACCCACGTAAAACTAAAATCTAAATAAAAAAGTATACATTATACATCTCATAGGCCGTTTTTGTGACTTAGATAAAATATATTATGCGCGGCGTTGCGATTGGGGGCCGCGGGGGGTGGCGACTTTACTTTTAAAATTTGACTAGCCGACACGAGTTAGCAACTGACTAGAACGCGAAACGTTTCATTGGCAAGACTATTCGCGGCACAATCCTCCCCAGGTTACCGCCAAAAGGTCGTCTGCACGGGTTAGGATTTGCCCAATACTAAATTATATTTTCGAACGCAACTCCTCCAAGATCACAGACAATCCGAATAAATTAAGTACGAGGCCGCGCCTCGCCGCCGCACAAACGCAACGCGCACGATCTCTTACTTTTAAGTAAACAAATACGATCACCCGAAACTAGGAAAACATTTAATGCGAGAGAAATTATCGATAAAACAAAAAATAATATACCTGTGATGTCTCTAGCGATTTAGTAAAATTAATAGAGAAAACAGATGTGATGGACCGAAATAAATACATACAATATTTACAAATAAAACCCTACAAATTAAGCTCATCGGTTCGAAAAAGAGTTTTAAAATTACATCACTAACGATTGCTTTACAAAATGTCGCGACGATCATCTCCTTCCCCGTGATTCGAGTCTAGACCGCGGTCCAATTTCGCTACTTACTACTAGAGCTATCGAGTCGTTCGGGCGCGAGCGGGAACACGCAGAGATTCTGACACTCGGCTCGCCTCGTGTACGCACTCATCCGCCCTCCGTCACTTTGACGTCTGACAGATGTCAACTTGACATCTCACAGCTGTTCATTTGACATTGCGTCGATCCGCATTCAAAACTGCATATGTATATTATGTGCTTACAAGACAGAAAAAAAAAATTGAAAAACATTACGTAATTCAAATGCGACACGTGTCGGCTAAAGTTATTGAGGCAAAATAAAAACAAGCCAATATTTGGACGTTGAATTTCGCAAAAAAGATCTAACCCACAAAAGGTTATTATTGAAATATTCATGTTTAAAGTCTTCTCAAAGAAGTCTTCTAATAGATCAGTCATGTAACGTTTAATTATAAAGACTCTCATTTTTAACCGGACTGTAGGTTGGATCCTTTTTGCGTAACTACGTACATTAATTCTAACGTTTCAAATTCGAACGTTTGCGGTGTTGAATGCCGAACGATGTGGCTATATAAGTCAATATAAAGTCACGTAAGCGCCTTGTAGTTGTGAAGTAGACGTCCAGATGTATCGAGCAGGAGCCTGCGTGAAGCTGACGTGCGGCGGAGATGTGGTGCGAAGTCTGCGAGGTCTAGCAGAAGCCTCCGAAGCCGACGGAGGGCACGGAGGGCACGGAGGATGCGTGCTCACCGTTCTTGTGCAGGTCGATCAGCGGAGGCGCCGAAAGGTAGTGCGTCTGCAAACACAAATCAAAATCAAAATTAATAAAACTTTATTCGGTTGAAAACTTATCTTGTTCATAACAAACTTATGTCTTCTGGGGATTGAATTGAACTAGATTTAGTTGTACCCAATCCAAAACTTATTTCAACAATGTCTCGACTACAGACACAAGTTTGTGCCGGTACTCGTAACAAACTTGTGTCTGAAGTCCGAATCCTTTCCTGAGAAATATTGGCCGGGCCAGCTTATAAACCATTACCAGTGCTGTCGGTCCACATGGCAATGAATGTCACCGGTTTGCAAAATCTCATTTATATGCAGAAGAACCAACATTGGTGATAGCACGCAGCCTTGTGGAATACCTGGGTTAATAGGCGGAGATAGTCGGAGCATGCACCGTCTACTATCTTAATACTCCGATCAGACAGAAAACTGGTGATCCAGTTGCACAATTTCTCGGAAAGCCCATAGGAAAGAAGCTTCGAAAGAAGCGCTTTGTCCAAACTAACTGTCAAGGCCTCCCCCTCGGACTCGGTCGCCCCCATCGGTGTGTGAGATAAACAAGAAGATCACCATTGAATACAACTATATTTACAGATTATATCGCGTTTAATTTACTTATTTTAACTTGTTTTTACTTATTCTTCAGTTCAGTCACTATTCACATGCCTACCTATTGAAGACTGCATCTCAATTGTAACTAGGAAGCTAGAAGATGACAACATGTCTGCTGAATATGCAGTATTACTCAAACACTGCCTCACTCTCTCTATCTATTGTGAAAGGAAGAGTTCTACAAGCAAGTAGATGGTGTGGCGATGGGCTCACCTGTATCTCCCACAGTCGTCGACATATTCATGGAAGACTTTGAGGAGAAAGCCCTTCTTACTGCTCCTGTAAATTCAAGATTCTGCAAGCGGTACGTAAACGACACTTTCACAATTTTACCATCTGACAAAGTAACTGCATTTTTAGACCACCTAAACTCTATAAGCTCTAAAATACAATTCACAATGGAGTTAGAGGCAAATAATTCTTTAGCCTTCCTAGATGTTTTAGTCATCTGAAATCCTGATAACACTAGTGGTCACACTGTGTATAGGAAAAAGACCCATTCCAACCGATATCTAAATGGTGAATCTCACCATCATCCTTCACAGTTAGCTACCGTGGGTAAATCTTTGTTTCAGAGAGCACAAGGGATCTGTGACAGAAAACAGCTGGCCGCCGAGCTTCAGCACGTCAAGCAAGTATTGCAAGACAACAAGCTTCAGGTCAAGCCACACCTACGTCACAGTGACCCAGAGAAGCCGGCCACAGTCGAGCGTGTGCCTGCTGTACTGCCGTACGCTAGAAGAGTCACAGACAAGGTCGGCTACATCTTGAAGCGAGCTTCCATTAAAACATACTACAAGCCGCCGAAGAAGATTAGTCCATTTGTACCATCCGTCAAGTGTAATATCACAGAATACCAGCGTGAAATAGTAGCTTAATGCTGCTGTATTTCGTATGGTGAGTGTAGAGAACCGGCGACCCATTTTACTGGAAACGAGGCATTCCATCTTAGTCCTCACGGGTGACAACACATCTGCATTTTGATTCGTAATCGAGGATAGATGTAGATGTCTATGGGCCACAGCAACCACTTACCATCAGGTGGACTATGTGCTCGATTGACACCCTATCCTATAAAAAAAAAAAAACAAGATGCAGGAGTGTACAAGTTAGATTATGAATGTGGTTTCTCTTACATAGGTTAAACTAAAAGATCCATAAAAACCCGCGTGAAAGAACATATAGCTGACATGAAGCACCGACGCTCCCGGAAGTCTGCAGTCTGTGAAATTGTTCAAAATCGTCCCCACCATTGCGCATAAGACATAAATCAATCACACCGCGGGATGGTCGGCGGTGTGTTACCCCCATTATCAAGAGTCCGACGCAAAAAAAAGAGCCTAGCAGATGGGCTTTTTTTGCTGCGAGGGTCAGTAAGTCGTCATCCCTGCGCAGAGATGGTAGTGATTGATGTCTTACAGAAATTTCCTTGGACAGCCTTGGCGAGAGATCAGAATGCAAGGGTTCCTGTGAGAAGGCAAACTAATTTCTCCCCAATTCTACCAATGTACTCATATTTTGCCTTGGCAATAACTATTTCGAAAGACCTGGAGGCGAATTATACTTTTTTAAATATACCGGTGTTTACATCTAGAGTCACCGAAGCGTAAGCCTAGGTCTGATAACACCCCTGCTTGCTGCGTAATGCAGTCTTACAGGAACAATCAAATCAGGGTTGGGATCTGCATCCGATGAGTACCACAGATGATGGAACAAATAGTTGCATTTCCTGAAGCACCACATCAGCGACAGAGTCAGCAACAGCGCTGCGATCATACAGCAAGAAGCAGATCCACCCCCATGGGTAGGATGCAAAGAAAAACCGCATTTTGCCCCAATCAACCGACCCGTAATGCCAAACACGGAGTTATCGTGAAGAACGCAATCACGAAAGCAGCGTGAGTGGCACCACACTCTGGATCAGACAATGGTCCGAGGAGCCTAGAAAGGCGTCGACGGTGACGTAGATGAGAGGTCGGCAGGTGCCACAGAGAAGATCTTCCACATCTGGGATCCACGTCGGCGAAGTAACGAATTGTGTCAGACCATAATATGACAAGGCAAAGTCATAAACATATCTCCCCGCATGATCGGTTAAACGTGAACCGAGCCCTACGGTATGGTGAGGCGTTAAAATCGCCAAGGATCACGATCTCTGCGGATGGGATCTGCTGTAGCACGGAATCTGTAGCCATTTGGACGTGGTCGATTAGTCGGTCAGTTTCGGAATTACCGCTGTGGGACCTGTATAGGGTACGTTTTTCGAAATGTTTTCAGTAAACTGGCGAATGCAAATGGCGTTATTAATTGACGCCAAATTTCACCATATTCGATAAGCGAGGTTTAGATTAGCAACAAAACTTGCAGTAGTTGACTTCTGCAAGCTATTCCTACCGTGTTAAACAATCACGTCAAGCTCACTTCCACAAGTTTTGTAACTTGCAGGACTTGCCGCAAGTAGCAAGTCTAAACTTGCCGAGCAAGATTTCAGGTAAAAAAGTTTGGATGATACTGTGCGGTTAATAGAGAAGTATGAACAACACAAAGAATTATGGAACACGAAATGTTTATACAGTTTAAAAATTCCAATCTGATGAAATATTTTAACTGCATAGGTTCTTCGCACCTGAGTTCTTTTAATACATGATTGTGGATACTAACATTATCTCTTCTTAATATCCAATTCTTAACCCACTTTCTATTTTTCCGTTTTTTTATATGATAGGGTGAAAAACGAGCACACAGTATACCTGATGGTAAGTGGTTGCTGTGGCCCATAGACATCTACATCTATCCTCGTTTGCGAATCAAAATGCAGATGCGTTGTCAGCCTTGAGGACTAAGATGGAATGCCTCTTTTCCAGTAAAAAGGGTCTCCGGTTCTCTACACTCACCATACGAAACACAGCAGCATTAAGCTACTATTTTACGCCGGTATTCTGTGAGAGCGTGGTCCTTTCCCGGTCGAGCCGACTCATTCGTGCTACAACTATACTACTAATATAGCTGCAGCATGGCTCTACCACGTATAAACGTTTCTTTTTAATACCACTAAATAAGACTACTATAGCAGCAGCACGTATTTTTCTACAGCTTGGCATGATTATTGATTTCAACTCTCTGAATTTGAAAAAATATTGCCCTTACTAGTGTAAACTCTTTTCCAAGTACTTCCACAAGTTATTTTACAGGCCGCTTGCCGAAGCAAGTTGCGATAGTAATATTGCTGGTAGTTTAAACGGTTCTGCAAGTACTTGCGCAATAACTTGGCAGAAGTTCTTGCAAATCTAAACCCCGCTGTTTAATGAAACACTTACACTTTATCACTAAGTTTTACTCACACACCACTACACTGTATTATAGGAACACACAAAGAGGTTAAGAATGTTTAACTATACATCATAATGAAAACCCAAATGATACCACGTTTTTTTCTGCGATAGTGCAATCTAGGGAGAACAGGAAGAACTATATTTACTTACAAAGTTCGTTAGCTAAACATTCCGCCGCCCAAGGACGATTACAGTCCTTAAAAAAATGAACATAAAACAAAACAAACGAATAAAACAATCCAAATTCTTATAACTAGTTGGAATCATTTAGGGGCAGAGGGCACAATTTTGCGACAGGCCTCTTAAAAATATTATCCTTATATTGTAAAGACACAACTCTTGTGACGTATCTGCACCTGGGTGCTTCCGAATGATTCGTCCCAAAAGCCACTTTCCAGGAGGAAGTCTATCATCTTTTACCAACACGATAGTACCAATAGCAAGTTCTGGCTGACTCTTGTTACATTTATAACGATGTTGCAACGTTGTCAGATACTCATTTTGCCATCGTTGCCACAAACACTGCACCATATGTTGAATAATATGCCACCGATGTAAAGGGCTGACTTTAACATCAATTAAAGGTGGTTCTGGTACACCAATTAACGGTTCCCCAACCAGAAATTGCCCAGGCGTTAAGGAAGGCTCATCAAGTGTAGACTTTACTACGGTAAGTGGACGAGAGTTGACACAAGCTTCGACTTGAGTTAAAAGAGTAGAGAACTCTTCGTAGGTCAGTAAAGTTTGTCCAATAACGCGTTTCAAGTGTCCTTTAACGCTCCACTCCAGATTCCCAAAGTCCTCCGAAGTGAGGTGCGCTAGGGGGTATAAAATTCCAGTGAGTTTGGTCATTAGCTAGTTGTTCAGCAATTTCAGAAATAATTGCAGATTTAGCATCTCTAAAGGCAAGATCTAGTTCACGGGCTGTGCCCACAAAATTTGTACCATGATCACTCCAAATTTCCTTGCAGTGACCACGGCGAGCAGTGAAGCGTCGAAAAGCAGCTATGAACGCAGCTGAAGTGAAATGGCTTTTGTGACGGTGCACACAAATAAGCAAACATAA